ACTCCCAATAAAGTGACTGCTCCTTTCCTGTTTCTGATTTCCACCCATACTGACTCAGTAGACAAACCCTCCTCAACGACTTCCCTTTCTGCAGCTGTGATACCATCCCTAATTAGCAATGCCACTCCCCCACCTCTTTTACCTCCCTCCCTATTTCTCTTGAAACATCTAAACCCCTGTGTTATCCAAGTCTCTGTAATGGCCACAATGTCGTAGCTCCAATTATTGATCCATGCTCTAAGATTGTCACCCTTATTCCTAACACTTCTTGTGTTAAAATAAACACACTTCAACCCATCGCATTGATTGCAACTTTGCCCTTTCAACGGTCTATCCTTCCTCACAGACTCTCTGCATGCTGTGTGCGCCTGTACACCAGCCACCCCATCCTCTGATCCATAGCTCTGGTTCCCATCCCCCTGCCAAATTAGTTTAAACCCTCCCGAAGAGCTCTAGCAGACCTCCCGCCCAGGATATTGGTGCCCCTCCAGTTCAGGTGCAACCCATCCTTCTTGTACAGGTCCCACCTTCCCCAGAAGGTACCCCAATGATCCACATATCTGAAGCCCTCCCTCCTAAACCAGCTCTGTAGCCACGTGTTCAGCTGCACTCGCTGTCTATTCCTAGCCTCACTAGCCCTCTACTCTGGTCGTCCTGTCTTTTAGCTTCCAACCTGACTGCCTATATTCACTTTTCAGGTCCTCATCCCTTTTCCTAGCTATGTCATTGGTACCAATGTGTATTCTGGCTGCTCACCCTCCCTCTTAAGAATCCTGTAGACTCGATCCGAGACATCCTGACCCTGGCACCCGGGAGGCAACATACCATCCAGGAGTCTCGCTTGAGACCACAGAAGCTCCTGTCTGTTCCCCTAACCATTGAATCTCCTATCACTATCGCTCTCCTATTCCCTTCCGAGCCATAGAGCCAGGCTCAGTGCCAGAGATCTGGGCGCTATGGCTTTCCCCTGGTAGGTTATTTATATATTTATGTCCCATCACTAGTTTTGCTTCTGTAGGTGCTGTGCCTTCTTCCTGAGTTGTTGCAGTCTGTTTTGTGAAGGTGCATCCTCCAATATTGTTACGTAGGCAAGTTGAGAATCTGGGGCCAGTAATGACGAAGAAACAACAATTTCTGACCACATCAGAATGATATGTAACCTGTAGGGGAACATAATGATAATGGTATTCTCATCCACTTGACTTTGACCTTTTGAGAGTTGGAGTCAGTATGACTTGGTATGTTTTGTGACCAGATACAGCATGTTTACACCAATGCTTTGTGTCCAACCAACTTTACTTTTTAGCAGAATAGGCATGGTCAGCGAAAATTAAAAATGAAAATTTCAGAAGCTTTTAGCATACAATAATAGAAATAAATGCAGGGTTGGCAGATCCATTTGCAGTTTAATTCTAAATCATAAATTCAATTCTGGTTGCTAATTCACAACATTAATCAATAAATTCATTTTATCATATTTTGCTGATATTACTTTCGAAACCGGTCTATAAATTAATATTGCTGAGGATTTAATTCCCTTGATTTAAGTAACATTATGCAAAGAGGCACCCTCTTTCAAACCAATGAGTAAATTACTGCATAGATTGATCTATTTAATTTCTCATTCATTAAAGAATGTAGCTTTGTCTTTTTAACAACCTCATTCAGCCTCTAGCCTGATCTTTTATCTTATGGCAAATTTCTGTGCACTTTTACTACCTATCTTACCATTTTATTATTGTAAAGTTCTTCATTCTATTTCCCATCATGTCTGATCACATTAGTATTAATTTCCTTAACAACTGTCTGTTACAAACACTAATAAAAGTTTAAACACCTTTGGTGTCCTCTCATTTGCCTTTGCGTTTGTGTTCTCCATTTTCTACTCACTATATCTTTACTTTCTCATTTGCTGTTCTACAGTCTTCCTTTTCGCTCCTCTTTGAACAGATGTTTTGATTTGTTGAAGACTCTATTCAGTTTAGGTTCCTTCGTTACTTTCCAATCTACCTTTCTTGATTTTCAGCTGATGTACCTCTTCCTGTATGCCATTGCTCAATGGTGGAACTTTCACCTCTGTGTCAGAGAGCTGTGGGGTCAAATGCAGATTGATGCTTCAGTGCGTTACAGGAGTACTCTAAAGCACCATTACAGGTGTCATAATTCAGCTGAGAGGTTAAACAAAAGCCCCACACAAGCCATCACTTTGCTGGTGCCATATTCTCACAGACAGGATGAAGCCTGCTGGGCCTGAGCTCCTCTGGTAGATTAAAGAGCATCTTGGCAACTGCTTTATTCCAAAGCCACACGTGGACACTTTCTTGGGCTAACATAGATGAGATTCAATTAATTTGCATGGGAAGAGGTAGTGTGGAGGTAAGCCAGCAGTAGTACATAGTTCCAAGCTTCTGTGCGAGGTCAGCAAGGAACTGACCTTCCAACATACACTGCAATCCAGAATCGAATGCAGTGTTTGTTGCTTGGGGCCCAGCCAAGGAGTAATATTATGCTCTTGTGAGTTTAATGGGGCAGGATGTCAGCAGTCAAGTGTTCCTTTATTATGACTGCATACTTTCTCTAACTAATATTAAAGCAAAATACTGCAGAGGCTGGAAACCTGAAATAAAAAGAGGAAATACTGGAAAAATTCAGCAAGTCTGGCAGCATCTGTGAAATGAAAATCAAGGCTAATTTTCTGAGTCTAATATAATTCTTCTTATATAATAAACCAAAGAACTGCAGATGCTAGAAATCTGAAACAAAAACAGAAACTGCTAAGAGAAACTCAGCAGGTCTGGCAGCATCTATGGACCAAAAACAGCATTGACATTTTGGGTCCAGTGACCCTTTTTTCAGAATGATTCTTCTTACTTTCTCTTACTGTTCTCGTAGATCTGCTACAAGTTCACAAAAAGCAGCATAAGTCAATGCAAAACATGCAATTATACTACTACAAAGTAACCAATGCAGAAGACAGCAGAGATACTTCTATATGCAACAACAACCACTGCAGCAGCAGCAGCCACCACCATGAGGAGAGTGGACAGGGTTTAAAGGTTCAGGGGCAGCAGACTGCAAATGACTGTCAGCCATTGCAGAAGATAATTAAGGATGTCTCAATCCATCATGTCATACTGATGCCATCTGCTGGATGGGACTTGCAGTCATAAGAACTGGGTGCCAAACCCATCCCAGTAACACTAAAGGTTGCAGCTGCTCTTAATTTCTTCACTAGCAGATCATATCAGAGATCCACTGGAGATCTTTGTGGAATTTCACAGTGCTCAACTTGTGAGTATTCAGGAAGTCACCCTTCATGACAGCTCACCTAATCATCTCATTCCAATGTGACATGGGGAATCAGCAGCTTGGACATTAGGATTCTCAGCCATTGCCAGCTTCCATCTGGTGCAGGGTGTAATCCATTGACTATACATAGGAATCAGAATGCCCAAATACCAAACAGCAATCCTTGTGAGAAGAAAAGGATTCCACTCTCTCAATATCCAAGTCATTTTGACCACAAGAGCCCGATAATGCAGCTCTGCACTAGATATCCAAACAGCTATCATCCTTTGAGCGTCCTGAACCACTCACATGTGTCAAACTGTTTCAAGGGCCCTCAACCCAGGCAAAGATGGTTGCTGGGTGACAAGGGATACTCCCTACATATTTGGCTTATGACACCTCTAAGAAATCCTCAGATTGCCACTGAGGAGCGATACCATACTGTCCACACTTTGATCAGGGACATCATAGAAAAGAAGCACGGGCATCCTGAAGATGAGGTTCCAATGCCTAGACCAGTTAGGTGATGCCATGCAGTATATCCCAGATAGGATGTCCTACATCATAATGGCATGCTGAGTCCTCCAAAATCTCAGTCACCACATGTGTGAACTGATGAGGAGATGCTGGAGTGACAGGAAACCTTGGAGGAGGAAGATTAAGGTGAGGTGGGCCAAGCAGACTGTCAAAGAAAAGAAATCAAGGCAATGATCTACTAGGCCAGAGAGAACCTTACAGCTTCCTGCGTCTAACATGATTCAGCTGGATTTTCTGTTCTTGTTTCATTTGCACAGTTGACTGCAGCACTCTGTTTACTGTATGCACAAGGAATATGGGTTAAATGCTTTTGTAGGGACAGAAGAACGTAAAATAGACTGAAATGAACAAACATTTTTGTTTGTGAGTGATCATTTTCTTTATTGACCATGTACATTGGGTACCATATAGCTACAAATGATAGTAAATATATATTTTTTGGCTTTAGTTGTGAAAAGGCAGATGTTAAGAATTGCATCTGTACACTCTGACTTCCAAAGTTGCTGTGTGGCTGCTTCAGTTTAGCAAAAGAAGTTATTAATGCTTGCACATATACTTGCATAAAAGAATGTTCTGCAGTTGAGAAATGATCAAACCCAAATTTTGTTTTTATTGCCTTTTACAGGGGAATCAGTCAATTCTGCAGCAAGGCACCATAGTAAGATATCTAGTCAAACAGCATCCATGAAGAAACAGCAAGCTAACGTTTCAAGTCTAGATGACTCTTCATTAGAGCTAAAGTGAAATGTGGAGGAGACAGCATCAAAGCTATAGTTTGGAGGGGTGTGGATGGGTGGGGGAGTGAGTGTGGAGGTAGTGGGTGTAGGGTGCTGGTGGAGAAAAGATGTTAGGAGTTTAGATTAAATACTTGGAATGTGAGAATAGCAGAACAATGGTGCGTCTCCTATCAGACTTGAAAGGACAGTGACTGGCATGGGGGAGGGGAGGACCACATAACGAGCTAAAGGAAAAGGAAGGAATGGTTCACAATTTAAGGGTGTTGAACTAAATATTAAGCCCAGAAGGCTGTAAAGTTTAAAGTTTTGGCAAAAATCTGTAGCTTGGGTTGTGCATGAGGTTGTTGACTTGCTCGCTGAGCTGGCTTGTTTTTGTTCAGACGTTTCGTCACCATGCTAGGTGACACCATTGGTGAAGCCTCCGATGAAGCAATGTTATTCTACTCTGCTTGGAATTTATACTGTCCGGTCCATTATGGTGAGTAGTGTCATTTCTGGTTTTGATCTGTATGGGTTTGTATATGGGGTCCAATTCTATGTGTTTGTTGATGGAAGTATGGATGGAGAACCATGCCTCTAGGAATTCCCGTGCGTGTCTATGTTTGGCTTGGGCTACTATGGTTACTTTGTCCCAGTTAAACTGATGGCCTTCATTGTCTAAATGTACCGATATTAAGTAGAGTTCGTCATGCCGTTTTGCTGCTGGCTGATGTTCATGTATTCTGATGGCGAGTATGCTTCCTGTCTGTCCAATGCAATGTTTGTGGCAGTCGTTGCATGAACCCAAGATCACGGTTGAGGCCGTCTTCATAGGTATTGAACTTGGTATCAGTCTCTGCTCAGCATCTACACTGTTGTGTATCTCGAAGTCCGCCTTTGAGGACACTTACCCAAAGAACGGATGCTGAATGTCCTTGACCGCTGAAGTGTTCCGTGACTGGGAGGGAACATTCCTGTGTGGCGATTGTTGCACGGTGTCCATTCATCCATTGTTGTAGCGTCTGCATGGTCTCGCCAATATACCATGCCTCGGGGCATCCTTACCTGCAGCGTATGACATAGACAACACTGGCCGATGACATGACTATCTGCTATGTACGTGGTGGGTGTGTTCCTACATGTGATTGTAGTATCCATGTTGATGAACTTACATGTCTTGCAGAGTTTGTCATGGCAGGGTTGTGTGGTGTTGTGGTCAACGTTGACCTGAAAGCTGGGTAGTTTGCTGTGAACAATGGTCTGTTTAAGGTTTGGCGGTTGTTTGAAGGTGAGAAGTGGAGGCGTAGGGAAGATCTTGGCTGTATGCTCATCGTCATCGATGATATGTTGAAGGCTGCGAAGAACATGGCGTAGTTTCTCCACTCCAGGGAAGTACTGGACGACAAAGGGTAATCTATCGGTCATATCCTGTGTCTGCCTTCTGAAGAGCTTGTTGTGGTTTTTCACTGCTCCACGTCGCAACTGGTGATCAATGAGTTGTGCATCGTATCTCATTCTTACGAGAGTATCCTTCAAAACCTTTAGGTGTCCGTCGTGTTCCTCCTCATCTGAACAGATCCTGTGTATGCACTTGGCTTGTCCGTAGGGGAAGGTTTCTTTTATATGTTTCGGGTGGAAGCTAGAGAAATGCAGTATCATGAGTTTATCCATGGGGTTGTGGTAGAGTGAGGTACTGAAATATCCGTCCTTGATGGAGATGCGTGTGTCCAAAAATGAGACTAATTCTGAAGAGTAGTCCATGGTAAGTCTGATGGTGGGATGACAGACACGGCAGACACAGAGGAATTCATCAGGAGAATGAAGCTCCAGGAATTTTTCCACAAGGTTCAAGATGTCAGCAGCAAGCCCAAAGAACTGGAACAGTCAACAGAGAGATCCATGGTGCAGTGACCAAAGAGAAAGGAGTCGAATTGGACTCCTCCGGAAGGCCGCTGACCTGGGCTCGACATGTACACTCAAGCCATCAGGAGATGCGTTAACACCAGATTCATCAGCCGTGATCACAAAGCAGTGCAGAATGACACCCAAGTACAACGTAACATCATCCATGCTCTCAAGACACAACATTGTCATCAAACCAGCAAAGGAGGAGCCATCGTCATTGAGAAGAGAACGGACTACTGTAAAGAAGTATACAGACAACTGAACAACAAGGAACACTACAGACAACACTACCTGCCAAACCAACCAAAGAACACACCCGTCAACTCAGTAGGCTGGTCAAGACTTTTGATCCAGACCTTCAGAGTATCCTATGCGCTCTCATCCCATATACTTCTCGCATAGGAGACTTCTACTGCCTTCCGAAGATACACAAAGCCAACGCACCTGGACGTCCCATTGTATCGGGCAACGGGACCCTGTGTGAAAACCTCTCTGGCTATGTCGAGGGCATCTTGAAACCCATTGTACACCGAACCCCTAGCTTCTGTCGCGACACAACACATTTCTTACAGAAACTCATACCCACCGACCAGTCAAAACAAAAACCTTCCTCATCACAACAGATGTTTCAGCATTCTACAGCAACAACCCCCGTGACGACGGCATCGCTGAACAGCCTCAGTACTCAGTACCAATAACTGCCAATTTCCAAACGCCATCCTACAACGCATCTGTTTCATCCTCCACCACAATATATTCACCTTCGACAACCTGTTCTTCATCCAGACACACATTACAGCCGTGGGGACCACATTTGCACCCCATTACGCCAACATTTTCATGCACAAGTTCAAGCAAGACTTCTTTGCTGCAAAGGACCTCCGAACAATGCTATACACCAGATATATTGACAACATTTTCTTCCTTCGGACTCATGGCAGAATCACTGAAACAACTACACTGCGACATCAACAAGTTTCATCCCACCATCAGACTTACCATGGAATACTCTTCAGAAGCCGTCTCATTCTTGAACGCACACATCTCCATCAAAGGTGGACACCTCAGTACCTCACTCTAACATAAACCCACGGATAACTTCATGATGCTGCACTTCTTTAGTTTCCACATTAATGTAGCCATCCCCCAAGGACAAGCCTAACATACACAGGATCTGCTCTGATAAGGAGAAACGTGATGGACACCTGACACCCTCATAAGAACAGGATAAATGCTCAACTCATCGATCGCCAGTTGTGACATGCCATAGCGAAAAACCCCAATGACCTCAGAAGATGAGACACGGGATAAGACTGATAGAGTATCATGCGTCGTCCAGTACTTCCCCGGAGTGGAGAAACTACGCCACGTTCTCCACAACCTTCAACATGTCATCGATGACGATGAGCATGTCACCAAGATCTTCTCTACGCCTCCACTTCACTTCTTCTCACCTTCAAACAACCGCCAAACCTTAAACAGACCATTGTTAGCAGCAAACTACCCAGCTTTCAGGACAACATCGACCACAACACCACACAACCCTGCCATGGCAACCTCTGCAAGACATGTCAGATCATTGACATGGATACTACCATCACACCGCAGATACTCATGTGACTCAGACAACATTGGCCATCTCATATGCTGCAGGCAAGGATGCCCCCAAGGAATGGTATATTAGCGAAGACGACCTCAACTGTTATTTTGAGTTCATGTCAAGCTACAGGTGACCTCACCATACCGTATCTGTAAAATCTTCCTTACTGTCATGTTTTGACAGCATCACCTTGATAAATTGTTATGATCTCTCTACCTTAATTAGTTTGTACAGTTTTGAATTCAGCATGCAATTCCAGTCATTTAGTTTGTCTTTAGCACCACCTTATTTGTAATTTTTTGTAGTTATCTCTCTGCCTCACTTAATCGGATGATAGGTCATCTTTTCCTGCTTATTCACCTTACTCACCATCTAACACTCTTGGTTACCTGTAGAGACTTATCATCTGACACTCCACTCATACCAGTTGCATGATCTTTTGATCTCCCTGCCCTTGATCTCTCTTCCTATCAACTCTGAGTCTGTGTGCTCTGCTCTCTCACTGCACCTGATGAAGGTGATTTCAAATAAACCTGTTGGACTGTAACCTGGTGTCATGTGACTTCTGACTTTGTTCACCCCAGTCCAACACCGGCAACTCCATATCTTCATTTCCCCAGTGTAGAGGTGACCACATTGTGGGCAGTGAATGTAGTAGACTAGATTGATTGAAGTGCAGGTAAAGTGCTACTTCATCTGAATGGTGTAAGATGCATTCCAGCAACTTGCTAAGCTTTCTTTGACAGTACCATCTAAATTCACCAGCTTCTCAAGGGCAATTAGGAATGGACCATAATCATTCTGAACAAAGACAAGCCAGCTCGGCGAACAAGTCAACAATCTCATCCACAACCCGAGCTACAGATCTTTGCCAAAACTTTAAAGTGCTACTCCTTTCAGAGACATCCACATTCCATGAAAAATGAGAAAACCTTTGAATCTATGTTCACCATGACATTTCTGCAGCCATAAATTAGTTGAACTACACCCATAGTTTCACCTTTGACTCCCTCTTCCCCATTGAAATAACTAGTCTCGCTGATCCTGACCAGACCCCTAGTCTCACATTTATCTCAGCTCTCATTAGTCTTTAGGATATAGACCTGAATACATCTGGTGAGTAGCCGGTTCAACAATTCACTCCCAATCCTAACTGGACTACAGCACTATCAGGTCCTGGTCTTGTCTGTGACAACTGCGAAAGTCAAGCAGAGTGCGAACCTAATCCTTAGTTTCCATTTGCTTGGGGAAATCACTTACTTAAACATCCCCCAGCATTTCTTCCATCCTCACTTGCCGCAATAAGAGTGAAGAGCTCATGAATTTCTTTGTCAACAAGACTGATATCACCTGATCACTTCCCTCTGCTAATTCCCTCATCTCTCTTCATGCCCTCTCCAAATTCATCTTGTACATAAGACCATACCTTCGATTCACTTAACTGTGTTTCCACTGAACTACAGTACACCAATTTTTCGCCCTTCTATAAAACTGTTATCATTACCCCCCTCCTAAAAAGAACGCTATTGGCCTTGAAAACGATCACCCCATTTCCAATGGCCCTTTCCTCTCCAAAATCTTTGAATTTATGCATCTCTCAAATATATATCTGATTCCTCAGAACTCCATGCTTGATTTCCTCCAATCAGGTTTTCACTCCTGTTACAGCATCAAATGGGATCCATTGTATGGAATGAGCTGCCAGAAGAAATGGTGGAGGTGAGTACAATTACAAAATTTAAAAGGCATCTGGACAGGTACGTGAATAGGAAGAGTTTAGAGGGATATTGACCAAATGCTGACACATGGGACTAGGTCAGATTGGGATGTCTGGCCGGCATGGACAAATTGAGCCAAAGGGTCTGTGTCCATGCTGTATGACTCTATGAGAAAGTAAACTATTCCTCCTCCTTTATTTTTTGACCAATCTGCAATCTTTGAAATGCTTGATCACATCATTCTCCTCCAATGACCCTCCAGCTGGATGAAACTACAAAAATCATGGCTCCATTCTCAACTAGCTAATCAAAGCCAAAATATCACCTACAATGACCTTTCTCTTTTATGGCCAACATTATAAATAGAATCATAGAATCCCTACAGCGTGGAAGCCGGCCAATAGGCCCATCGAGTCCACACTGATTCTCTGAAGAACGTCCCACCCAGACCTACTCCCCTACCCTATCCCTGTAACCTTGCAATTCCCGTGGCTAATCCACCTAGCCTACACATCCCTGGACACTATGGGCAATTTAGCATGGCCAATCCACATAACCTGCACATCTTTTGTGATTTGTGATGGAAATCTTAAAGTCACTTTATTTTTGATTATCATAATTCATCTTCTCTATTTCTTGCTTTCTCTTTCTTTGTCAATAACACACAAGACATTGATACAGGTGAGCTATTTTAAAGTTTACAGAAAAAAGTTTGTGGCAGAAGTTAACACACTTATTTCTCCCCAGCCATGATGAAAAGGAGTCAATTTAACCTTGACTTACATGAGATCTATTCTGTACAATAAATTATCAATGAAGTGTTTAAAGATTTTTGGTAGATGATTTTATGCAAGAGTGAGTAATTTATCATTTATTATAGATGCAATAATCCTAGCTAAGCTTTTGCAAAGTCTTGCAAGATGACCTGGCACTGGTCAATACCCACAGTGATAAATCAGGCATTTTTAATGGTTTGAGCTTTGAACAATGTGCATGCTGCCATTGACTAAAATAATATCAGCCATATTCTCAACAGGAGGAAAATACTTAATTTTTCAAAAAATTTTACATTATTAAAGACTGCCAGGAGATCTCTTCTTACACTGCAGTGTTCCATTTATTATAGTTATTGATTTAACAAAGCTGTTTATACCCAAAATAAAAAGTACTTTTAAGATGCTTGATCCACAAATTTGAAAATGAATGCGAGTTACTGTGTAATGCCTGAAAGGTTTAATTCAGTCAGTCAGTTCTGCAGTCTATAACCAGGTAGCATACATCTTAGGAGCTAACAAAGTCTCATACCAAATGTTAATATAGTTAACTGTCTTAAGTTAATATAACTTTTTGCCTTATTATTATACAATATTTCTTGTCACTCAAGTCTGTGCCTCTTCTGCCAAAGACTGATTAGAGGTTAACCTTCACCACTTAATAATAGGAAGCTCTGAGGACTAGAATTACAAGAAGGGTTGATGGCAGCACTTCTACTCAAAGAAGTTCCTATCAAAACCAGGTGCCAGCTATGGGTACCTCTCACATCAGTTGTCATTTTTTTGCCCAAAACAAGTCATTCTTGTTTTGTGTGGAAGTGTTAAGAAATGGGGACAAAATATGGGTAATTTCAGCAATGCTTCTCTCCAAAGAAGCAAGGAGTCGTCTTTGACGGAGTTGTTGTCATCAGCCAGCACTCAACTACCGAGTATGGTTGTCCATTTCGGAAGTTAAGTTCTGTGGGTCCTTGTGTGACTGATGAGCCCAAGCCTGGAGCCTCATTTCTGACCACACAATTGGCAGGTGTTTCTGGGAAATAGAACTGGTCCTTGGATTTGGAATCGCTGGCATTCCTTTCTCCAGCTGCCTTTCCGTACTTCCTCTTGCCAATGGGTGTTCTCAAAAAAATTGTTTCTTTCTCCATGTTGATTTCTTCTGAGCAACGGTTTCCCAGGCTTTGACATCTATGTGGCATTTCTTTAGAGAAGCTTTCAGGGAGTCTTTGAAATGCTGCCTTTGTCCTCCTCTTGTTCAAGTGACTTCCTTGAGCTGGGCAAAGAAGATTTGCTTTGGCAGTCAGCACTTAGGCAACATGAATAGTTGGCTGGCTCAGATGATCAAGCCTCAATGTGGTACTATTGGCTGCTTCAGACGCTGATTTTAGTATGCCTGTCCACCCAGCTGATGGATACAGGTCACAAAATGGGCCATTTAATTTTAAAACTTTACAACTTGAGTTGCCAAAATGATGACATGAGCTGAATCGCTATCTCAAGAAAAAAGTTCAACCATATCGTTGGCCTTTTAAAATGAAAATGATCAACTTTTGTGCTTCTGCAAAAATCTCTTCTTTCTGAATTTAACAATCACATTCTTGTTTTCAAACCTCTTTGGTCTCACTCCTCAGCCACAACAATCTCTGTAATCTCCTCCAGCTCTCGATCACTCCAAGACCTAGATGACAGGCATGTCATTAATCAATCTATTCACCATTTAACAAAATAACTATTTTCATCCTGTTGAATGTATGGCTGATACTTAGTTTAACCACTGACAGCATGTGCACTGCTCAAAAATCAAGTCATTAGCCATCTATTCATTAACCATCTATTAATTAGCCAATCCTACATGGACATAGATAGAAGATTGGCTAACTAATAGAAGACAGAGTTGAGATAAAGAGGCGTTTTCAGAGTGGCAACCTGTAATTAGTGGGATGCCAAAGGAATCTGTTGCGTAGCCACAATTATTTCCAATATATTATTGACTCAGATGAGGGAAGTGAATGTATTATAGACAAGTTTCTGATTTGACACAAAAATAGGTGGGAAGGCAAGTGGTGAGATTGCACAAAGACCCTGCAGAGAGATATAGATAGGTTAAATGAGTGGGCAAAAACTTGCCAGATGAGATATAATGTGGGAAAATGTGAGATTATGCACTTTGGCATGAAGAATATAAGAGTTGAATATCACTTAAATGGAAAAAATAGCTGCATAAATCTGCAGCATAGAGGGATTTGGAAATCCTTGTTCATAAATCATAAAAAGCTGGCATAAAAGTTCACCAAATAATAGGGAAGGAAAATCGAATACAAGCCTTTATTTTAAAGGGTATTTTTTTTTTAGGTTAACCAGGTTGATCCCTAGTGTGGAGGGATTTCCTTATATGAGTGTGTGTGTAGATTGGGCCTGTACTCACTAAGTTTAGAAGAATGAAAGGAAACCTTATTGAAATATGCAAGATTCTTAAGGCCCTTGACAGGGTAGATGTACAAGGTTGTTTTCCCTTATTGGAGAGTCTAGGACCAGAGTAATAATCTAAGAGTAAGGAGTTGTCCTCTTAGGACAGAGATGAGAAGGATTTAGTCTCTCGGAGGGTGGTAAATCTGTGGAATGCTTGAGAACTGTAGAGGTTGGACCATTAGGTATTTTCAAGGCTGAGATAGACAGATTTGTAATCAGTAAGGGAATCAAGGGTTATGGAGAAAAGGCAGGAAAGTGGCGTTGAGGAGTATCAGACCAACATGATTTCAGAGAATGGCAGATGGGCTGAGTGGCCTATTTCTGCTCCATATTTTGAGCTTCAACCAACAAAATACTAGGTATTGGATTTCCCTTGCTAACTTTCTCCATTTCTCTTTTAGGATGCTCCTCAAGGACTGTCCTAATACTTCCTTAAGCAACTTGACACATTTCACTATGTTAAAGGTTGTGTGTAAATGCATATTGCTGTTGTTGAAAGGGTGTCATGATTACTTTTTACCTTATACCATTTACTGAGAATGTAACCAACACACACCATGGCCAGTGAGAAAGAATAAAACTCTCTTGCAGATCTTGCCTGGGGACTCAGCTTTTTCCTTCTAATATTCTCCAATCTCATTTTAATAACTTAACTACATTAGCGTAATCTGTGCCTTTGAAAGATCTAAATCTCTTCCATCAAAGCCATGCATCTTTATATTTTCAAGTGCTCTAATCACAGAACTTTTCTCAAATGTTTTATGAAAACTTCAATGCATTACATTTGCTAAAGATCATCTCCTAATTTAATACATCTGTCTTTTTGACAGGTTTGTAGCTGAATGCCAATTTCTTCTGAAACCCAATGGTCCTTCTGATAAGCTTACTGTATTCCTCATCCATTAGTCCTGTTCCCTTTTCTAAAACTTTTGACCTTTTGGAGGACAGTTGAACAAATCATATATTGGATAGTTTTAACACCATAAGTTTTGACCCCTGAAATCAATACTTTTCTTTAATTGCTTTAATATAAAGGTGATGTTCCATTAAATTACTACAATAGCATCTCCATTGTGTAAGTTGCAAATTCACAGATTTTCCAAATACAGTAGCTTCATCATTTTCCAAGTCCAATGTTATCTGTACCTCTTCAATAGTTGACCTACGTTAACAATGGTATTTCACTGGATACTATATTCAAGCTACAAAAATGATTGATTTGGGCTATGAGGTAATGACTGCTTGTTTTAGGATTTTAGTGTGTTAAGTTCCACAAATCTAAAACTGGAGGCATTCTCAAATTCCTTAACTTTGTTATAATCCTTATCACTCTGAAGGTCTAGGTAACATTTTAGCCACTCCTGTCCACCAGCACATTCATCACTAGCTGAAAATTCCTGTGACTAATACAATATCCACACTTTGTTCCATAGCTCCATCATCATCTTCTGAACATTCTGATGATTGATGGCTGATTGCTCCATCTGTACCAAAAATGCTGCTGGATGGGAATGCTTTCCAAGGACTTTTATTTTAATGTGTTCAACATTTGTTCTAGGAATACGTATTTATTTGCAAAATTAACTCCTGTCAAAACTAGAAGATGGTCTAAAACAAAAACAAAGTTGCTGGAAAAGCTCAGCAGGTCTGGCAGCATCTGTGAAGGTAAAAACAGAGTTAATGTTTCGGGTCCGGTGACCTTTCTTCGAAACGGTTTTGAGGAAGTGTCACCAGACCCGAAATGTTAGCTCTGTTTTTTCCCTTCACAGATGCTGCTAGACCTGCTCAGCTTTTCCAGAAACTTTGTTTTTGTTCCTGATTTACAGCATCCGCAGCTCTTACTGTTTTTGATGTAGAAGATGCTCTAGTTTGGTGCACTGTAATAGCTTAAAGCTAGAACAGATTGGGGAATTTCCAAAGAGAATTTCTACAATCTTGCATCCAATCTGTAGAATTCCATATGCAATTTTCTATGAATGTTATCTGCCTAGTAGTTGAGTATTCCTTTGTTGATGAGTTTAATATTGTTCTTTCTCCTTTTCAGCTTTCTTCCTGCTCCACACAATGTAGTCTCCTGTTTCCACTTCCCTCTTGCAGCCTCCTCCTATCCTTCCCCCTCGCAGCCTCCCCTTCTCCTTCCCCTTCCTGCAGATTCAATTTTCTTTTCTTCCCTCATGCAGTCTCCACCTTTTATTCCAGCCCCTTGCAGCCTCCTCCTTTCCTCACACACTTGCAGCCTTCCCTTTTTCCAACCCTTACAGCAACAGTTGGATTTTCTTGGAAGCTGTTCACCATGATCTTCAAGGCCAAGATTTGGTTCAATGCATCCCCCCAGAATCTGACTTGGACCTAGTTGACAGCTGTTCACTGCAGTCACTACCTTTCCAGCTGCTTCTCTAATCACAGGATGGCACTCTCCCATGTTTGCTGCTGATAGGTTCATTATTGAATCTTAGCAGTGCATAGCATTTGCAAGATGCACTATAGTATTTCACAGAGGCTCCTAAGACAGCACCTTCCAACCCCATGATATAGAGCATGCAGATACAAGGAAACACCACAACTGCAAGTTCCCCTCCAAACCATTCACCATCCAAACTTGGAAATATATCGCTTTTCCTTCAGTGTCCCTGGATCAAAATCTTGGAATTCTCTCCCTAACAGCATTGTAGGTCTACCTACACGAATTGGACTGCAGTGGTTCTAGAAAGCAGTTCACCTCAAGCTTCTCAAGGGCAAATAGAGATGGGCAATAAATTCTGGCCCAGCCAGTGATGCCCACAACCCTTGAGTGAATCAAATAAACTCTCAGAAATGGGTACAATATTGCTCTTATTGGTGGCAACTTAGGGCCGGGGTGATACTGTCTGAGTCCAGGGCCTCCTGGAGGCACAAACCCAAGTGATCAGCATTATGTGCATCCTCCCCCTCCACCCAGGATCTGGGTGCCATTCTTTGTTGCTTTGATATTAAAACTTTCATTCTTGTGTTTGGATCCCAACATGGCTTTAACCCCTCTCTACTTATGTAACCTCCTTCACTTGGAATTCCTTGTGAATTCCCTACTTCTTTCACCTTACTATTGGCAACCAGACCTTTAGCTGTCCAGATCATAAGGTTTAATAGACAATCCTTAAGATCTATCAATTTGATAGTATTTTTGATTGTGTTTTCCTAATGTCTCCTTCTTTGATTCAATGTTTTTTTTATTACCTGACAACTTGTGAAGTGCCTTGGGATTCTTGTTTACATATAGGGTGCAATATAAATGAAGGTAAATGTTGCTGATGGTGTAACTGAGCTAACAAAGGGTATAATCATTGGATATTTCTGGGAGCATCTCTGAGATTCTTTAAACACGCCTGTATGAACAAGGGGTATTCATGGTTAGTTTCATCTTTGGTGAAATTACAGCATTTCCCTTCAAGAAACCAAAACTAGAAGAAGAGTTCCATGATTGAGAACCTCCTCCAAACTTTTCCTGTTCCACCAGTCTAATCTTGCTAACAATTTCCAGCAAGGCTACTTAAGGTTGCCTACTCAGATTGGAAATATTCCAGAAGGTTTCATCATATGGCGCCCTCACCTCCAACCACCCCAGTTCCAAACTGTCACCAATGATTGTCCAATGCATCCACCTTCACCAGGCTCTGCCTTTCCACACTACGTGGCCAGTGAACAAACTCTTCGTTCCTCGCCCGGGTGATATTTGATGGCCAACAGTGTTTTTGATATGTCCTTTTTTTATAAGTCAAGAAGGTAAGTGTTCAAAGAAAATGTTTATGTAATGATTTTTAATTAAAGCTGTGGTGGTTTGTCTCCCAGGTTGTTCTCAGAAGTGTTGCAGAAATTCTGGAGACTCCAGCAATAGCTCAGAGATTTAGCAACTCTATCACTGATCCTTTGTGCAGCAATTAGAAGCACAGTTCCAGCACAAAAAAGTAAGAAATTCATCTAGGAAACATCCTGCTATTCAAGCTTTCACAACTGACTTCTTTAAAACCTCAAATATGCCTGTCATTTACCTCCTGCATGCTATAAGCTTATCTAAGTGTGTAAATGAAGAAATTGAAGAAAATAAAGATTAGATTTCTCCAGCATTAATGATCCCGCTGATCATATAATTCCTTTACTTTATTTTCTTCATATGAATACTACTGGGCTAGCAGCTAAGTTTTAGCCATGAGTTAATATCCATACAGCTTAACCTGCTGCTCAATAGGGAACATAAGGATAGCTATTCCTGCTGGTGATAATAGCAGACAAATTCTTAACATCTATATCTGACATTTCTCTGCTCTTGTAACTGAGGTGTTAACTCATAAATTAAAGAATCAGTGGAATGTCATACAAATACATTGCATTTCTAACAGCTAGGCTGCAACTTTAATATCTACTGCTTACAGTATTGCCTTTGTTGATACTATATCAGTAGAAGAGTTTGAAAAATTGCTGTTTTGAAATTTTTTTTTGCACCTTCAGGCATCCTTTAAGTCCAGCACATCTTTCACTCTAATGATATCCAAACTGACCAAGAATGATAGACCAAGCCCTAACTATTGGTATGGTCGAATCCTATGAAGGCAGTCTGGCAAGATTGGAAATATGCCAGACACACATGGAGAGAGTAACAGAGAATATGAGATTGCGTAGAGGCAGATTCAGGGGCTGTGACCGAAGTAAGGAAATAAAGCAAAATAGAAATTGGAACAGAAAAATGAGGTTTCGTGTTTTCAACTGCCTGAGCAGACTAGTTTTCTTATTAAACAAATTGAAAAGTATTGGAAAATGTTTTGCTATTTATACTGACTTAGAATTTAAAAGAAATGCTTAATTTGGTCTTCTAAATTCTACTTCTACCAGCTCCTCCAAAAAGGCATTTTCTTTTCAATTGTTGCTTAAGGTTGTTTCTCTCATTTCTTCGTAAACACCAACTTTGGGACAGATTTTGGAACATTTGGTGACATTAACAGCCCATTGGGTGTCTGTACTTACAGTATGACAAATTCACAAGCAGATTCAATTATAAATTCAGACATTGGAATCTATCATGTAAAAGTTGTAAAGGGGTGCAGAAAGATGTCAAGTTGTTTAATATATTACTTATCAAGTTGATAACCAGAGAATATCAGGTTAAATTTGACTGTGGCAGCAGCCAAAAACAAATGATAGCTAAACATCAGCCTGTTTACACTCCTTCTCAGAAGGGATCTGTGGCACATTGGTAGTATCCCTATCACTGGACCAGACGGTCCAGATTCAAGTCACACCAGTCCTAATAGTGTGTCATAAGATATCTGAGCAAGTTGATTTAAATAGCTACACTCCTTTAGCTGGAGAAGAAAATTAGGTGAGGTGCAAAATTGATTTGTTTATTTTCAGCTGCTGAAGTTTAATTTTACCCCCAGGGTCTCTTCTCTCTCTCCCTGTCCTGGAAATCTCTGCTTTCATATTATTGCTGTTCCCTTTTTGCCTCTTGTCTCCTAATAATGTCACACTCTTTGTCTTCCCATCCCAATTGTCATTTTATGCGTCTTCATCTGCCTTTTTTTCTCTTTGCCTGGGAGATTGTGGGTCCTTTAGTTATGCTTAGTGAAAGCTTTAATTGAATCTGGATGGGCTGAAATCATTCCTCCCAATCATCCATTCTATGAAATGTTGCAAGAGGCCTTCACACTCAAATAGTCAGTTGAATTTATAGTGCAAGAAGTAGGTAGGGGAGGAGGACTACTGGAGGAGGTATGGTAAGGGGAGAAAAGAAAGGAATAAAAGAAGGGAGACAGCAGAATGTATGAACAGAAGAGGTTAAAATGTGTCAGGTAGAGAGGACAGTGTGGATGGGGGAGAGGGGTTAGGGTTAGGTCTAGGGTCAGGGTTACCACCTCACAGCTCCAGGGACCTGGGTTCGATTCCATCCTCGGGCAACTGTCTTGCAGAGTTTGCACATTCTCCCCATATGTGTGTGTGGGTTCCGTCTGGATGCTCTGGTTACTTTACACAGTCCAACGATGTGCAGGCTAGGTGGATTGTCCATGGTAAATTGCCCATAGTCTCCAGGGAGGTGCAAGCTAGGTGGATTAGTCATGGGAAATACAGGGTTACAGGGTTGGGGTTGGTCTGGGTGGGATGCTCTTTGTTGGATGAGTGTGGACTCCATGAGCTGAATGGCCTGCTTCCACATGTTGGGATCCTATGATTCTATGTCCTCAGCTGTGGGGAGTGTGGCGGCCTGGTATAAGGAGTTATGACAAAAATCACTTAATAGAACTTACTTCTTGATGAAGTTGTGGGGGAGCAAGTTTACTTTCTAAGGATAAGACTTTCTTTACAGTAGAGAGCGTTTTGAGGAGGCTGAGGACATTGGAGAGGTGCAACCCATGTTCCAAGATAACTTTTGCTCCTAATTGGGAACGGATGAGATAAAACTGGTGGACCTGGGTAGGTATCGTAGCTCATTTTTGGAGAAGAGGCAGAGGCTGGATAGTCCAGCTGGAATATTCTTTGGTATCTTAGAGGGCGGGGCCATTAGAGTGTGCCAAGATTGTTATATTCCTACGTACGAGTACGGGCTGAGGCAAAAATCCAGCAAAAATGAAAATTTTGCTCCTCACTGGGTGGCCTGGGAGGACTGTTGTGGATTTGAATTTTTTGTCAGTGGGGATCAATAGTACTTTAATGATCCAATACCAAGTTATTATTGAGATTGGTACAATATTTACAGAACACAACAGTGGACAGTGTATACAGCATGGACAATCAAGGTTTTTGAGAAGATTTGTAGCTCAGGTTGTTGATGCAGTTGTTGATTTGCTTGCTGAGCTGGTAAGTTTGTTTGCAGATGTTTTGTCACCATACTATGTAACATCATCAGTGCGCCTCTGGTGAAGCATTGGTGTTCTGTCTTGCTTGTTATTTATGTGTCTAGGTTTGCTGGGATGGGTGGCATCACTTCCAGATTTGTTTCTTAGTGGTTAGTATTTAGAGTCCAGCTCTACATGTTTGTTAATGGAATTCCAGTTTGAGTGCCAGGCCTCCAGGAATTCTCGTGCGTGTCTTTGGTTGACTTGTCCCAATCAAATTGGTGTCCGTCTTTGTCCATGTGCATTGAAATGAGTGACAATTGATCATGTCTCTTCGTAGCTAGGTGATGTTCATGAATCCTGATGGTCAGTTTCCTTCCAGTTTGCCCTATGTAATGTTTATATCTTCTCAAAAACCTTGAACAACTACGGGCGCAACACGCTCAAACTAGCCCAATGATGGGAAACGAATGCCATCTGACTGAACGCCACCCACGAGTAACTTCACTTCCTATATGAATGCATTAGAAAACAGGGTACTGCCACATACTGTAAAATACAAGCCACCGCTAAACAACCCACAAGCATGGAAAACAGCTGAACAGAACAGCCACAGAATGCTACAGGTAATGATTAACGATGCCCACAACTGACTTCACAAATATGAGCAGGAAACTGCACACCAAAAACTTTGCATTCAAACTCGACCAGCCAAGAATGGACTGCAACACCAGAAAAAGCCATTACCGTGAAACAACAGAAGACCGAGACCAAGAAAAAACACGCCCTACAGGAAAAACTGACTAAACTTACCCACAACAACGAAACAGACAGGGCAGACACTTGGATAAGGAACCTATGTGACTGGCCACTCACAGACACCAAAAAACCCGTCCTGGTACGCAGGTTAAACTACAATCACAGAGACACTAATAAAACTGACTTCCTGGTTGCACTGCAATCCACATTATAAAAACAACAGATTCACCGAAGAAACCCAACAAACTGTCAGACAGGTAGAGGCCTAACACTAAGCAGAAGGAGCGAGGGGAACACATTCAACACACTAGAGAGGAAAGCCCTACAAGGACTCGAGAGACAGGAACATTGTAATCCTACTGGCGGACAAAGGGTGCGTGATTGTCATACTGAACAAAACACAGGACATTAAGGAAGTGAACACTTTACTTGCAGATACTGACACCTACCAACAGATGGCGACAGACCCAACACCATAATTGGAAAATCGTATTATAACCACCCTGAGGAATCTACCAGAGGGATCAAACACACCCCGCGTCAATGGTGTCCCCAAGGTACACAAGCCAGAGGTCCCCTGCAGACCCACAGTCTCACTTCCGGGTACACTGACATACAGACTAGCAGAAGAACTACAAAGGAGACAGAATCACCTAGTAGACGGCTCAAACCAGTCCATTCACTTCACCCAAGAATTCCTCAACATCATCAAAGACACCAGAATAGATGAGGATGAGAACAAGGTCTCCTTCGACGTGACTGCACTATTTACCTCCATAAACATCCCCCTAGCTAAGGAAACACTAGCCTTGCTACTGGACAGACCAGGGATACAGACACCTGACAACACCAACACCATCAGCAAAGACGGCACCCCTGAAACTAGTGAATCTGTGCCCCATAACCCACTTCACTTTCAAAGGCAAGGTATACAGACAAATCAACAGAACACCTATGGGATCATCGATATCAAGATTAATAGCGGAAGCCATAATGCAAAGACTGGAACAGACAGCTCTTCCCTCCATCCAACCAAAACTATGGTTCTGCTATGTGGATGACACCTTTGTTATTATCAAACACTCTAAACTGGAGGAAACCCATCTACTCATGAACAACATTCTCACTGGCATAAAATTCATCACGGAAGAGGAGAACGACAACAGACTTCCCTTCCTGAACATAATGGTCGAACGTAAGCCCAACAGTGAGCTCCAGGCCAGCATACACAGGAAGGCCACCAATACAGATCAAGTACACAACTACAATAGCAATCATCCCAATATCCACAAATGGAACTGCATCAAAACACTTCAAGCAAGCCACAACACACAACAGCACCCCAGAGCTGCACAAAGCCAAAGAAGAACACCTCTACAGCATCTTCAGAAACAACCTAAAATGCTTAGTCTGCCAATATCTACACAACAGACCACAACAAGAAAGACATAACACATCCAGAGATACTAGTCACCCTACCGTACATTAAGGACACATCTGAAATGACCACCAGATTACTCTGCCCCCTAGGAATCATGGTAGCCCACAAAATGACAGCTACACTAAAAACAGCTACTGATGAGAATAAAGAATCTGACAACCATAAATAACAGAACCAACGTTATTTATGAGATACCATGCAAAGACCGCCAAAAACATTACATAGGGCAAACCAGAAGGAAACTAGGATTCACAAACACCAACTAGCTACTAAGAGACATGACCAACTATCACTCATTTCAATACATATTGACAAAGAGGGACACCAATTTGACGGGGACAACGTAGCCATCCTAGCATAAGCCTACCAAAGACACGCACGAGAATTCCTGGAGGCCTGGCACTCAAACTGGAATTCCATTAACAAACATGTAGAACTGGACCCCATACATCAACCACTAAGAAACAAATCTGGAAGTGATGCCACCCACCCCAGCAAACTGAGACACACAAATAGCAAGCAGGACAGAACACTGACACTTCACTGGTGGTGCGCTGATGATGTTACCTAGTATGGTGCCAAAATGTCTGCAAACAAATTTACCAGCTCAGCGAGCAAGTCAACAACTGCAGCATGGACAATTTTAGAAATAATTTAAGCAATAGGTCATTGAATGTGCTGATCAGGCAAGAAATATCTTAAATGGTACCACCCATTAGATATGAGGTTAAGACAGCCACACACAGGCATGACCAGGGACCCCCAATGTCCTCGTGGGCTGAAGAGTAGCCATACACCATTGGCCATCAGATTGATTGCTACACTGATGAAGCTGAATGGCCAGTTGCTGCAGGCCTTCTAGGGACACGATGCTGGACATGGAATTTGATTAAGACTGATGAGTCCAGCTAAATGGCGAGACATAAGTAACAATGGATATGCCCATGGAAGAAGGTGAAACTACTCACAATGCTATGGAGCAGGGACAAACAGGAGAACCTTCACTGTTCTCGTAACACTCTTGGAAGAGGAAAGGGTGGAAATGGGATGGGTTGCAGTAAGGCAGCCGGTCACTGAGGGTGTGTGTCTGTGTATAGAGACACTATAGAGTTAGTACTGTAACAGATGTGGGCATCAAACTTTCTGCCAGTATTAGCTTTGGAGTCACTGTGGGTCTTCATGAACAAAGGAGGCTAAAGTTTGATGGCAGGCAGCAGGAGTTACTTGAACGCACGATTTGTTAACATCACTCTTGACTCTCCTGCAGGTCTAGCAACAGATGAGGCACAAACAATGGCACTGGGACAACTTGACATCTCAGAGAAGACTCTTCAATCTGAGGAGCCAGCATCACATCAGCCCAGCACAACCTCCATCTGCAAACATTCTCTCATATGGTAGGTATTGATATGCTTAGGAATAGTGGCACCAGTTGTTAAGCATGGTACAGAAATGCATGGTATAGGAGATAGTGACAGCTGCAGCTGTTACCCACAGGAAGGCCATGCCCAAATCCAGCAATTCTGAGCTTCATGCAACTGGGGAGCCGCTGGGATCATCATCAAAGTGTAGGTGCTGGAACAGCAATATGAAATGTGCAGATTACTTTCAGAGTTCCCAGAAGCCATTCATTTCCACCTGTAATGACATAAGGACACCTAAATGTTTTCTATCTATTGATATCTATTTTAAAGTATAATCTCTAATTAAGGAAAAAACGATGGCCAAGTTATGCATGACAAAGTTCCTGAAACAGATAGTTGACCTGTTATTTTGTAATATTTTTTGAAGAACAAATACTGGCTAGGGGACAAGAGAGACCTCTCCTGCTCTTTTTTGAAGAATTTCATACAATCTTTTATTTCAAGCTGTGTTGCTAACAGATGTCAGCCTAATATGTTACCTGAAAAATCATATCTCCAGTACTGCAAAATTCTGCACTGAAATATCATTCCAATAAATTCCATCCTAAGTCTCAGTCCCAGACCTATTCCAATATATTCCAAATTTACTCCACTTTAAAATGATCAGGTGTCTGCACCATGTGACGGTTCCAATCCTGCTCATGCTGAAGATGCGCCCTGTAGTCTGATGTTACAGGAGTTGGCCAGTTAAAGGCCACTTCTACCTTCATTGTCTAATTATGGACTATATGCAGGACATGAACTTGGGAGCCTCATTAGGAGGGCTTTCAAGAATGACCAATTGAAAATCTCACTGGGAGAGGCCAGAACTGTGGAAGTATGCAAGAGTAGGGAAATTATGCTTCAGTTATACGGGCATTGGTGAGACTGTATCTGGAGTACTATGTCCTGTGTTGGTCACTGTACCCATGGAAGGATGTTAATGCATTGAAAGCAGTTCTAAGAAGATTAACTAAACTAATACCTAAACTGAGCAGATTGCTTTATGAGGTCTGTATCATCTAGAAATTAGAAGAGTCAGAACTGACTTAATTGAAATACTTAAGATCCTGAAGGAACTTGACCGGATCGATGTGGAAAGGATGTGCAGCTGTCAAAAGCATTTCTAATTTGGCACAAACAACATATAATGGTTTAAACTTGCTCCAATGGGACTGCATACCTTAGACAAATCATCTCAAAGTGATTAAAGATTAGTAAGAGAACTGGAGCTGTGAAGAATAAAGTAAAACAGAAGCAGAAAAGGGAAATACAAGAGGAGAGAAAATCACATCAAGTGGAAGAAAAAGAATAAATAAATAAACCCCACAATTTACTTCTAAAAAAAGACCGTTGATAAGAAATGGAAGGCAAATACTTAATTATAGACTGGGCAATGATAACTTTACTGAATTACAGCTTTTCAAACAACATATACAGGCTTATTTTACTGACCAAGCAGTAAACGTCTTTGAAAATTCTGTTTGCTATTGGTAAGGTGGGGCTTTGCAGAATTAATGCACGTCATCTTTCTGTGAAATATCAGAAATGTCCAGAAGAGAAATGGAGGCTACATAAAGACCAGCTAAACGTAAGAAGTAACTTCAGGATGAACAGATTCCAACTCCTGTAATTCAGATATAAACCTCAAGAGTTGTTTAACAAGCTTACTGCAAGATGTCTCCAGTACTGCAAAATTCTGCACTGAAATATCATTCCAATAAATTCCAACCTAAGTCTCAGTCCCAGACCTATTCCATTTTATTACAAATTTACTCCACTTTAAAATGATCAGGTGTCTGCACCGTGTGACGGTTCCAATCCTGCTCATGCTGAAGATGCACCCTGTAGTCTGATATTACCTTCAGGATCTTATGTATTTCAATTAAGTAACTTGTGATGATACAGGCCTCATAAAGCAATCTGCTCAGTTTAGGTATTAGTTTAGTAAATGTTCTTAGAACTGCTTTCAATGCATTAACATCCTTCCATAGGTACAGTGACCAACACAGGACATTGTACTCCAGATACAGTCTCACCAATGCCTGTATAACTGAAGCGTAATTTCCCTACTCTTGCATACTTCCATAGATCTGGCCTCTCCCAGTGAGATTTTCAATTAGTCATTCTTGAAAGCCCACCTAATGAGGCTCCCAAGTTCAAAAGGCTTGAGTATGGTTTCCATGAGGAAGAAGACTAATTGCCTTTACGCTAATTAAAGCCCTCAGAAAGGATCTTCTGGGCAAGGAAAAGAGCCATAACCATTGAGGATGAATGCTAAGAAATTTAAGCTGTCTTTGTGTGGTGTGGCTTCAAGTTTAATTGGTATTGATAATTATTCTAGATATTAAGGAAATCTTCACATTCTGTTCCTCTTAAGTCAAAATACCCCATATAGCAATCTAAATGTAGAAGGCAGCATTACTATGTGACTGCACGTCACCTGATAAAGAAGTTAGTGAGATTGAAAAGGTAGCGCTTGAAAAGCAAAACATAAGTAGCATTTGCAAAAACTCAAGAAGACACATTGAAAATTTTAAAAAAAATTGACCCTTGCTACATACTATATTCAAATGTTTCTACAGCCAGTAAGGTGACGATAGAATCTCGGATATCAAGAATTATGAAATTAGAAACACAAGAAAAGGGTTTCAGATCTTCGATATAGCAAGATGAACTTGGTGTAGTCTGAAAAAAACTTCAAACCTTGGAAACAGTTCACCTTGAGACTGTCCAACAGCTGCAGAGCCACTGTTGGCGCAGAGCCATCTAGGGAAAAGGAAAATTTAAATCCAAATTGGATCATGCTAAAAATGAACATTCAAAGAATATTAATTTATAAAAAAAATCAACTGAAGTCTGTAAGTGAGCCACATTAACAAGCCATGGAGGCACTCAAGGTGACTTTCATTAAAGAAGAAGAAATCCAAACTACAGAGCTCCTACATCTGAGGACTCCTTGAGAAAAGTTCATTGTCGAGCATCAAATGGAACTTGGCTATGTTAAATATATGCAAGAGTTGGAAAAATCTACTTGCCTGGAAGAGATACTGCACACATACTGTGTTATTTGCAATTGCACAATGCTGTGAAGCTTCAGAATCTAAAAAAGAGCAGTTTCTTGGGGAAATCAAACTATTGGATAAGGCAACAATGGAAAACAAAGACCTCCAAGACTCATAATCCAACATCAGCTACTAGTTGGAGAAGTTCAAGGAACTCAATTGAATTGAATTAGATTTATTGTCACATGTACTCACATGAGTACAGGAAAAGTTTACAAGTCACCACTTACAGGGCCATCTTAGGTATAAAAGTACCTAGGTACAGAACTTTAGTTATAGAATACAAATGAACATGACTATTTCATGAACAGGCAGAATTGTCAACAGTCCTTAGAAAAAAACAAGAACATGCAACTTGAAAAGGAAAGTTTACAGAGGAATTCCACAAATCCTTCGCAGAGACAGTCAGAGTTCTTACACAATTGGCAGATTAAAGGGGTACTTTGGGAGAAAATGTCTCCCTTTTACTTGAATATTCAGAGCTCAAAGATCACAGTGAGTTATTAATTGAGGAAAACATTCTGTTCCAATCCCCACAAATATTGATCTTGCCTCTGAAAATGAAACTCGTGAGCAAGTGAACAGAGATTTTTGTTTCAGTTCAAATAAGATAATGCTAGAAAAGCAAGACTTTACTAACAAAAGACATCATCCACAGAAAGATTGTGATCTTTGAAGAATAATTTTAAAAAAGTGACAGAGAAAGATGCAGAACTCAAACTTTCAACATCTAACCAGTCCAAATTCTCAGGTGAGATCAAGACTAATAGGGAGGTGATAGACTCTGCAAGTCCTCTATTGTCCAATATTATATCACATCTGAAGATCAGATCATCGCAGAAGAGCTTGCTAAAGGTCCAACTTAATGAATCCTATTTAAGAAATGAGCAATGGATCCAAAGATGTTACTGCCTACTCCAGACTAGCCTCAAGCTCATGAAAAAGTGGGAAAGTAACCCCAGTGCTTTTAGATTTCATTTATCAGAGGCTGGAACTCTAATCTGTCAGAGTTTCCCTTCCAACGAACACTACACATAGATTTACCTATCTTCAAAATGGGTTGAGAATATGCTTGGAGATTGAAACCTTGGTAGAGAGAGATGCTGGTGGGAGGGTGGTTTGGAAAGTGAGAATGTCATGCTGAGTATTCATGGTTAAATGTGACCGGTAAAATTGTAAAAGAATTGGGTGAGATGTAGAGTAAAGGGAATTATACCTTTACAGTAAGTATGGCTTTGACAATGTACAAAATGAACTATGTCACAGTGATGTCAGATCACATGAACAGGATTTTCGGTCTATAGGGCTCCAGGTAAGATGTTCCTCTACATAGAAACTTTCGGAGTCTCGCTCCTTCTTCAGGTGGTAGTCTAACACCTGAAGAAGGAGTGAGACTCCAAAAGCTTGTGTTTTCAAATAAACCTGTTGGACTATAACCTGGTGTTGTTGTGTGATTTTTGACTTGTCCACCCCAGTCCAACACTGGCACCTCCACATCGCCTCTGTATATAGTTATATTCAAAAAGCCTGTTGCTGTCTCTGCTACTATTTGTTGGTTGCTTTCTATCAATCTTTCACCATATCTCCCTCTCTCTTTGTCACTGTTAGTTTCTCTTGGTAACTCCTTTGTCTATCATTATATTCATCCATCTTTCTATCTTTTGATGTCTCTCTCTGGCTATCCCTGTCTTTCTTTGTCTATCTCTCACCCTCTCCTCCTTTTCAGGGATGTTTTTGAGCAGACCAATGTATTCGTGGGATATAGTTTGCATTTTTAATCTATCAGCAACGCATTCAAGAAAAATGCAGAAAAACATCAGCATTTGTCGATTACAATACTGGAAAATATGAAAATCATGAAGAAAGCAAATGTGGTTGCTTCAGTGAAATATTGTATGAAACATGTGGTTTGAGTTCCTCAACAGTTTATGACATCAAGAAGCAATGTGAAATGATCGAAGGTATAATATTTAGATGAATAAAATTATTTTATTACTGCTTTATAAAGTTCTTTAATTATTTCTCTTGCAGGCAAATATCTACATCACATTTTTTCCAGTTCTCACATTTGTGATTAGATATTCATGTAATTCTAGAATCCAAAAATTTCTGAAATCCAAAAATGAAATTGATCTCAAGCATTCTAAACTGGAGAGGCTAAAGTGTGGCTTAATTATAATTGTAGTCATAGTAAGAGGTAGTCAATCTAAATAAGCTAATTCTAATCTTATAAAGTGCATTTATAACTCTATGTTTGGCTATTCTGTGCTAGATATGACAGTATAGTTTATTTCTATCATTTACAATTATAAATTGCATTTGCAAATGAGCTTTTACAGGCTAGATTCTGCATCCTAATGAGCCAAATGGCAGACTTCTGCACTGCAAGAATTCTGTGATTCTGTGGTTAATAAACACATTCACAATCCCATGTGACATTAGTACTTGAATACATTGACTTATCTCTTACTCCTCTGTGACAGTGTTAATTGTGTCCATTATTTCCTGACTCTTAGCAGCTAATAAAAGCATCAAGTGACAGAATTCAAAGATCTCCCATTGAAGAAATTCACCGTTAGCTTCATAATCATAAGCCATTTCAATGCTGCATTTCTTCCAAATTTAAATACGTGACTTCTGACACCAGTTCTGTTTAAAATATAAAACTGATGAAATAAAGCATTAACATAGCTCTGGATATTTTTTTTCACAATTACAATTAGATTTCATTATTGCAACTAACTTCCTAATGAGGTTACTGAAACTGCTAACTGTCAACTTCCAGACAATACATAGACCAACTTCACAACAATTTGCATTTATACAGCATAATCACCATAGTAAAATGCCCTAAGGTATTTCACAATCATTCAAAAAATTTTCACTGAGCCAAACACAGAAACTTTAGGGTAACTGACTGCAAACTTGGTCAAAAATGTAGATTTCATGGAAATACTTAAAGGAGTAGAGAGAGGGACAGGCAGAGATGTGGAAAGGTTTAAGGAAGGAAGGACTTTATGATGGAAGGCATGGCTTTTAATAGTAGGTTAAAACAGGCTGGTGCCAGAGTTGGAATGCATATCCGCAGAGATTTATAGAGCTGAAGGAGGTTGCAGAGGTAAGAAGAGTCCATAGAATGATTATTCATGAGAATGAGAAATTTGAAACTGAGATATTGCTAGAACTTGGAGTCAAAGTAGATCAGTGAGGGTGATGTGTGAACAAGGACTTTGTGTGATTGAGGGAATAAGATTGCATTTACAGAGAGTGGAAGATGGAGAATGCCCTGTAAAGCACTGAAATTGTCAAGCCTGGAAATGATAAAACCATGCACGAGGGTTTCAGCAGCAGATGGAGATTTCAGTAGCAATGAGTAATATCAAGGAAGTGGAATTACGCAGACTTGGTTTTGCAGAGGATATCAGACACAATGATGGTTTACAGGTTATGGGTAATGAATTGCAAACTGAAATGTTACAGTCCTAGTCATCAACCTGAAATGCTAGTTCTCTTTCTTTCCCCAGAGATTCCTTCAGTTTTTGCAGAATATTCTTTTTAACCAAAACTGAAATGGAATGTTATGGACAAGGGGACGTACACAAAGATATCTGATGAACAGTTCCACATATGAAGAAGATATCAGGATTCAATATATTCTTTACATTTATAAGGTTTCTTGTGAAACGGAGGATCTCCATAATGCCCTACAGTGTGTTGAAAGTAATATTTTTAATTTCTTGTCAATTTTCCTCCTTGTAGTTTTTCACTTTGGTATCTATTAGAAAGAAATATAAATATATTTGAGACTAATGTTCGCAAATACTATAAAAGGACTCCTGCACTATTACATGTGCTTGATGAGATGTTTATTACCCAGGCACTCCTTTTTGGGTGAAGTCTTGATCAGGGGTCAGGGGTCTTGATCAGCTATGAGTGGGAATCCTGAAGACTGTGTTGCCAGTCTAGTGCAAGAGTTAATGATATCTCCTCAAGGCTGGATAATAATTTTAAGACAGACAGGAAGGATCCAGTAGTCATGTTCATATTGGTACCACCACATTGATAGGACTAGAAAGGACATTTTGCCGAAAGTCTGTAAACACTTAGGAGCTAAACTAAAAATAATTCATCAAAAATAATACTTACAAAGAACGTTCAATGTAAAAGGGAGCTGTTCTGGTGGGATGGCTTCATTTGAACTCTGCTGCAACTAGTGTCCTGGTAAAATAATCCCATTGTTGAGCAGACCATCCATGAAAATGGCTCACATGAAACTGAATCAAACTGAAGGGACCTTCGGCTATGACCTATTCCTGTGGAGACTATTAAAAGCCACTGGAGGTTGCTGCTGGTCCCGCGCTTACTGGAATATTTCTTCCTCCTCAATTTCTCTCTGCCTTTGTTGTCCAGTGGCCACAGCAATAGTAACCTTTGCTGTGGCTTGATCCATTGGTCCTTGGAACAATTTGGAAAGACAGCTCCAACTGATGTCTAACCAACCCCTTGATTAATCTCCGTGCAGCTTCCTGTATTGCATTTTGGTAAAACAATGACAGGACTTTATACAATTAAAAGTAGGGCCTTGGGTAGTGCTGTAGAACAGACATAATCTTTTGAAATTTGCATCACATGGTTAAGAAAGCATTTTGCCCACTTGCTTTCATTGCTCAGACTTTTGAGTGTAGGAGTTGGGATGTCATGTTGAGGTTGTACAGAACGTTGGTGAGGCCTCTTCTGGTTGCCCTATTATAGGAAGGATATTATTAAGCTGGAGAGAATTCAGAAAAGATGTACGAGGATGTTGCCGGGAATGGATGGTTTGAGTTATAAAGGTAGGCTGGGACTTCTTTCACTGGAGCATAGGAAGTTGAGGGTGACCTTATAAAGGTTTATAAAATCATGAGGGGTATATATAAGGTGATGGCAAATGTCTTTTCCCTAGGGCACAGTATTTCAAGACTACGGGGCATATTTTTAAGGTTAATGGTGGACATGAGGGGCAAATTTTTTACAAAGAGAGTGGTTTGTGTGTGAAATGAACTTCCAGAGAAAGTAGGGTATGCGGGTACAGTTACAATGTTTAAAGGACATTTAGGTAAGTTCATGAATAAGAAATGTTTGGACGGGTGTGGGCCAAGCACAGGCAAGTGGGACTAAGTTGGTTTGGGATTATGATCGGCACAGACTCGTTGGACCGAAGGGTCTGTTTCCCTGCTATATGACTCCATGACTCTATTTCAAATTTCCAAAATCTGCAGAATTTTGCATTCACATTGATAGTTAGCAATCTTCTGGTCAATGTAAGCCACCACATGTTCTAAATGTAGACTTTATAAGTGATGGGGACTGTATTTTTTTTACATTCCTGGGCGTTTACAAAACTGTATATGTCTTACGTTGAGAAGGTGATGATGTATTTTATTGCTGCTGTTTTCTCTGTTATTTTTCATAGGTTTCAATGCAATCCTGTTGATAAAGGGCATCTAACGAATAGCTCCTATGTCCACTGTAGTTTGTGTGTAGCTATTTAATTGAAGGACAGCCTAGAGTAACTCTTCCAGCAAGTAGTTTCCTTATTCTGTAAAGAAATATCTGGGGTGGAATCTTATAGGAGCTTGAGCAACATGGGCCTTGATGAAATCTGTGGCAGAATCAGGTCAAGAGTCTGACAAGGCGTATCTTGATGACAGGATCAACTCATTGCATCTTTTACGCATTTGTTGAGTAGCAAGGCAAGTTTCTTGAGGTTGTTAATGTGCACGCCAAGCTGGTTTGTTTTCGTTCGGACATTTCGTCACCATGCTAGGTGACATCATCAGTGGAGCATCCAATGAAGCGATGTTATTCTACTCCGCTTGGAATTTATACTATCCGGTCTGTTATGGTGAGTAGTGTCATTTCCGGTTTTGATCTGTATGGGTTTGTATATGGGGTCCAATTCTATATGTTTGTTGATTGCATTAGGGGTAGAGAACCATGCCTCCAGGAATTCCCATGCGTGTCTATGTTTGTCTTGGGCTATTATGGTTACCTTGTCCCAGTTAAACTGATGACCTTCGTTGTCTGAGTGTACTGATATTAAAGAGAGTTTGTCGTGCCATTTTGCTGCTAGTTGTACAACGAATTCTCCTTAATATCGGTACACTCAGACAATGAAGGCCATCAGTTTAACTGGGACAAGGTAACCATAGTAGCCCTAGTCAAACATAGACATGCACGGGAATTCTTAGAGGCATGGTTCTCCACCCATAATGCTATCAACAAACACATAGAATTGGACCCCATATAAAAACCCACACAGATCAAAACCAGAAATGACACTACTCACCATAACGGACCGGACAGTATAAATTCCA